TCTAATATGAAAATATTAATCTTACTTAGTTTAATCATTAAAATTTATTGATTAAACAAAATAAATCAAACTTAATATGCTTAACAATTAATACCTCTCCTTTCTCTCTCTCTCTCTCTCAAAATTTAATTGTTTTTTTTTTCTAAACTATTATCATTTAACATAATACAGCAACATTTCTGCAACTTTTTTTTTTAATATTAATTCATACCGTTTGCTGAGTTTAGTTTCTTGTGAAAATGTTATTTTCTTCATTTTTCATTCTTTTCACATTTGATTGACTGCCACTTTCTCCTATTTAAATAGATAATTTTTCTCTTTTCATATTACTCAAAAAGAAAAACAAAAAATAAAGAAAAGAAAAGAGAAGAACAGCATTGTTTTTTTTTTTTTTCAATTTTCGGCGGTTTTATTTTTTTTTTTTTTTTGACGCCAATAAATTACTATTTAATTTTCACTTTTCATGAACTTTTATTCTTCCTTCCTTTTTTTTGTGCGGTAAATTTAACAAAAATTCTTCTTTTCATTCTTTTGTTAAATGTTTGATGAGTGGTTAAGTTCATAGTTCCAATGTATCACATAATTTTTAGAAAAAAAAAAAAAAGATCTTTTTTAAGTAATTAAGCATCTTTTTTTTTTTTATTAAGCATCTTTTTTTTTTTTATTGTAGGAAACGTGAAATACGTTTGGAGGATACTTAAGCATCTTTTTATTATTGTAGGAAACGTGAAATACGTTTGGAGGAAATTAATTTGTTTTTTTTTTCTTTCTTTTTAATTTCTCTACATTAAGCGTCGCGTCAATTATGAGATTTAATAAATAGTTATGAATGTAAATTTAATGAAATAGTTTATAGTATGAAATTTCATATTCATATTTATAAACTTTGAAATAAAAAGTGAAAATTTTGCTAGCAAATATGATGAACACAAATAATTTTCATACATTTGAGATTTTATCCTACTGAAATAACTTCATTTTTTATTTTTGCTATAGTTTTGAAAAATAAATTTGATCAATTTATTAAACGACAGTAGAATAAATTGTCAAAATTTCATGTCACCATGGTACCATAGTAAGCTTTTTCATTTGCAAGTGGTACTCATTTATTTCAGTGTATTAATCAAAATTCATTGAAAACGAATTATTGAGGAAATATTAAAATAAAATTGATTTTTATACGATAAAATTTACCTTTCACATTTCAAAAATGAACTGATCAATTGGTGATAAATTTCATTTAAGATTTTATTGATAAGATAATAGTTAAGATAATGCAAAAGAGAAAAGAAAAATAAAAATTTGCAAATTTATTCTTAATATTATATGCATGCCATTCAAATATTGCACAAATATCAGTTTTAAATTATAACCTTTAAAATTTATTACAAATTGTTTGCTTATCTCATCGTTAATTCCAAATCACTTTTGTGTTTACTTACTTTATCTCATATATTTCTATTTGTACAACGACACAATTTTAAATTTGATTTCGAATTCAAACCCTAATTTTAATTAATTCACAAACATTGTGTGTAAAAAGTAGTGTGGAAACAAAGAGTAATATTTTTTAAAGAGGCGAATCGAAAATCTTGTTTCACTGTTTGAATTTAATTTGATCTCATTTCGTAATTTTCCAGAATTTAATTAAATTTCTTTTTTTTTTTTTTTTTTTTTTTTTTTTTACAGTAAATTTATTATCAATATTTAATTTTTTGCATTTTAATGAAATGAAATGTATATTTTCTGCAAATTTTGTTAAAAAAAATTAGAATGTCAGAATAGTTTTGAACTAAAAATATTATTAGTAAAAAATAGCTACCGCATTTTCTTTCTTTTTTTTCATCAACTATTGTCAACAGTACATATGAACTAAACAACCATTTGTCATCTGTCATTGATTTTTATTTTTATCATCTATGCCATCTAGGAATTATTTATATCCAAAATTAGCACACAAAAAAAAAAAAAAGATAGAATGACAAGATATTATGATTTAGCATAAAATCGATAGGTATTCATTTCAGTTTCCGGATTGTTCAAAAGAATTTTGATTATATTATTTTTTTTTTTTAAATTTTTTATTGAGTTTATTGAATTTTAGGTCATCTTTGTTGAATCTCTTTCCAATAAAGTGCAATTCTTTTCTCAAATTTTTTTTCTTTTTAATAAAAAATTTTTTGTTTATCCTCAAAATTTCTCTCATGTAACCATAGTTTTATAATTTTGGACAACTTAGCATTTTATCTTTTCTCAAAGACAAAGTGCTAAGTTAGCAGAATTTATTAGTTTACTTTCTTAGAGTAAACATTTGATTTAATCGATAATAATTAAATATATTATTTTATAAATTCATTAATTAAAACTTTTGCTTTTCTTTTTCTTTTTACTTCCGATCATTTTTCATCTTTATTTCTTCGTTTTCCGTTTTACATTATTTAAATATATAATTGTTATGATTATCTCACTTTCTATTTTTAATTCATCTAGTCGATCTCTTACTACTCTTTTTCAAATTTCAGTTTTTTTTTCTTTTTTCTCTTTTCAAAATACATAGCAGCAATCGGAAAACATAAATCATAATGCTACTGACGATGAACTAGTAAAAAGGATACATTTCTTCGTCTCCATTTCATTCCAATGCATCTTTTCTTTTTTTTTTTTTGTTCTCGAATTACTACTACTTTCAAGGTTATTGTAATCATCTGATGCTGTTTTAATGGTAATATTTGTCATCATTACACAGTCAAACTATCACTGTAAACTTCTCGAGATGACCAAGGTCATTTACACTATGCCAATGTCAATTACTATATAAAATATCATTGTATAATCAAATTTTAGAAAAACATTTTTTTGCTTCTCTTTTCTATTATTATTTTTTTTTTATCTGATTACTAACAATTATACTAATTAAATATTTATAATACATTTATAAATTCTATATGGAATTTTATGGCTTAATTAAGCTTATTTTGTTTGGAAAATATCATCAGGTTAACTATAAATTATTTTACTTAGATTGTAACTATTGATTTACTTATCATTTTACTGTTTATTGTGTAACTGACAGATATGATTACACTTTTCTTCCCTGTTCACATTGCTATTTTTCCACTTCATTAGCTTATGCTATATTAAACTTATGCATAGCACAATTTACAGTTTATTTAAATGACAGACAATAATTATCTGTCATTATAATTGTTTAGTTGACAACAGGTGGTGGTGGTGGTAATATTATTACGGTTTGTTCAGATTTGTTGATCTCGTTTTTGCCAAATTTCAAATTTTGCGGTACAATTGAGCAGTAGCATTGGTCTAAATTATATACCCTAATCGTTATCATCCAGATTTATATATCTGATTCAGATGTTTACTAATCTTTTCAAATTGCTATTCCGCTTACCGTTACTAAAAATTATTGTCCCATTGATATTTGTCATCCATTTATTTCTTCATTCGGATAGCAAAGTTTAATGACACTCATCGTTCCATTTATTTGAAACGGGAGTAAAATTAAGTGATTCTCTTTTAATTGACTGTCTAAATCTTTGAAATAATTATCGAAGAGATGAGCAACACTGTTTCGAAGATAAAAGCCCTTCAATGACCAATGACAATCTCTCTTTATGAAGTGATAATGCTTTTTGAAATTTAAATATTGAGATTAAAATTACAAAAGTGACACTTTTTTTTTTTTTCATTCTTATTCTTGTCCTCTTAATTGTATGAGATATCATTTTATCATGAAACCTGATTTTTAACAAGGAAAACATCAATTCTTATAAGGTCAGATGTATTTAACATCAAACCGTAATTTTGATTGATTGATTGATTGATTGATTGATATACACGATCCGTTTATAATATATCATCCGTTTTATGCTCGACATACATGATCCGTTTATAATATATCATCCGTTTTATGCTCATCAGTTATTATTATATAAATTTATTATTCACAATTTACTTCCTCTTTAATCTTTCTGAAATCATTTCTGTTTATTGAAAAGACAAACAATAAATTTCTCTTATTTAAAATCTATTGTAAAAATTTTGAATATTATGCATTTTTCTCCATTTGAAATTTAATCCATTTCAGATTAGAAATACTTTTATTAAAAATCTGGTTAACCATCGATTTTTTGATTCTCTAATAATCTTCCAATAAATTTTATCTTAAGTTTCGTACTTCACTTCATTCTTAAAAGAGCCATTTGTTTACCTCTTCTGCAATTATCATATTTACTGAGTAAATTCTTGACTAAATATCTTAATAAAAATTACCGATGCACATATTTCATTGTATAGTTGTTCTATAGATAGAATTTAATTATAATTGATAAGAGAGTTATCAGTAAAAGTAATCATTTGAAATGTTTGAATGTTAAAGAAATGATTGCTAGTATATTCTATCTAACAGCTTTTTCTCGCTCTAAAATATGATAAAATGTAAAAATAGTATCTTTAAACAAATTCAAACTAATGTTGCATAAAATTAAAATTTTTGAAAATAATTTTTTTTTTTAACCTACGATTGGATTATTTATAAAAATCCTTAGCACTTTAGAAAATTTTGCTTATTTTACAGGTGAAAATCATATATAAATCTTTCAAAATAATCAATAATCGATGATTTCTCATTGCTAAATAATCATCTGATTCTTATCATTGACAAAAATTACAAAATGAATGATAAATTATCATTTTTAAATGAGTTCTATTGAAATGATGATTAAATTTTAACTGTGTTTTTCATTGTAATTCAGTTTTGCAGAATATTTAAACTTATTGTTAATATGAAATTAGTTGTGATCAATTTTACTTCCGTATTTTTCCCTTCTATTCGATCATAAAAATTTATTTATTATCATTCATTTCGTATATAACAAATCTTTCTGCAAATATGTTATATTCGTTCGTTTATTTACTTAAAAATATTTGTATAATTAAATTTTAATTAAAATGTTGAAAATTTTAGTTAGTTTGTGGCAATAATGAGTGGTCGTAAGGTGACAGCTTATAGTTTTTTATATGTCGCACCACCGAACATTGACTTCTCTCAACCATCACATTCAGCCAAGGTTTACTTTTCTTTTTTTTTTTTTTTTTTTTTTTTTGTTTCACTTCTCCCTCTCTCTCTCTCCTTTTTCAACTAAAAAAACATTTTTTTTTTTTTTAACTAAATAAATTATTTTGTTGAGATAGAACATTGGAAATAAATCGAATTAAAATTTTTTGTTGTAAAAATAATTTTTCAAAATTTTTTTGAGGTAATTTTTTTTTCATATTTCATCGATAAAAAACAAAAAATAATTTACAGCGATGGCAACGACGATGTTTTACATTATATGAAGATGGTGAATTAAGTTATGCATTAGATGATGATGTTAGCACTTTTTTTTTGATTTCATTTATTTTTTTAAGTATAATTATTTCGCATTTTTAAATCTTATTTAAATCAATTCATTAAATTGTTTTTTTTTGCATTTAAAAATATTTTAATCTACATTTTCATCTAATTATTCTTTTTAATTATCTAATTTGTGTATATATTTTATATTCTCATTCAGATTCATTTTTTTTTTTTTTTTTTTTTTCAGCCAGAAACAGTTCCACAAGTTAAAATGGATATGAATCGATGTGTACGGGTTTGTGAAGCAGATGCAATAACGGGTCATTCACATAGTATCCTTGTAGCATTCCGGAATGATACTTCAAATTCCGATATTGCTAGTACTTGTGAAAATATTGAAAAAGATACCACAACTACTAATCAACATGTACCAATTTGCTATATGAAAGCTGATACTACCGAAGAAATACGATGGTAACTTTACTTTCTTTCTTTTTTTTCAATTTTTTATTTTACCATTTTTTTTTTTAAATAATTAATTAAAGTTAAGAAGCATTGTTTAAAAATTAAATTATAGTTTCTTAAATTCAAAAATTTGTAAAAATTTTTTTTTTTACAAAAGCTAAATTTTATAGGTGGCAAAGCATACTGCAAAAATATGCTAAACGTAGTATTTATCGTATAACTGCGACACCAATGCGTATGATTGATGATGAACGACAACGAATATTGGATGAAACTATTGAAATAGAAGAAATGATGGAACCTTGCGGACCAACAATTATTCAGGTTTGAAAAAAAGTGAAAAAAAAAAAACGATCACTAATTAACAAATTATACTTGAATGTTCACTTCTGTTTGTTATATTTTGAAAAAAAAATATAATCAATTTTTTAAAGAATCTATGCATCACTAAATTTCATTCATTTTTAATTTTCATTTATTCCAAAAGTTTTTTTAAAAGATTTAAATTATAAAAAAGCTATCAAAATAACCATAAAGTATTCTTCGATGCTTTGTGCTGAAAACTTAATCTTTCTGACCTCTACTCTTTCCCATTTTTTTTTTTTTTTTTTCATCAATTCTTCTATCCATTTTTTCCCTAATTTTTTAGACAGATTTCATTTGAATGTTAAAAAAAAAAAAAAAAAATACAATTTGAAGTCTCGGTTTTAACAAATAATTGTCAATTTCGATTTATCTAATTAATTTAATATTTTGCTTATCAAACAATTTACTTAACCATTCTTTAAGGCAACTTTTTTTGGGTACTTCTCGGGAAAAATGTCTAAATTATATGACTCAAATCTATTCAAAATCAATCATTAAACTTATGCGACTAATAAAAGGGGAAAATACATTCCGAAATTACCCTGATAAAATCATTCCTTAAAAATGATAAAACATCACTAAACTGATTAGCAATAGTATTGTTCCGTTTCCTTATTCCAGTGTAACTAACGTTCCGGTATTGTATCAATTAATCATACGGAAAGTGAAAACGAAACGCAAATATTTATTTTCTTCTCTTTTATTGGTTAAAAAAAATATATTTGATTTTTATATCATTTTTTTTCTAAAAAATATTCTTATTCATTTGTATACAACTTTTATAAAAATTTGTGCAATTTTTATCTCATTTTCTTTAAAAATATTATTATAGCAGAAAAAAAAAAAAAAAAAATGTATTTTTCAGTACATTTCAGTACTGTTTGAAAATAAATTTTAAGAATGTATTTTTGAGTTACCCGTAGGAATGGAAATTGTCTAGTTTCTTTTATTATATGATTTTAATTTCAGGTGAACGATTCACTTTCTCGTCCAACAAGTGCTTCATCAATACGATCAATCCATGAGGTACAACAGCTATCAGCATCACAACTGGATCCCTTGTCAAATGTAGTAACACGGGTAGATTTAGGTACCCGGTCGAGCTCTGCTGATGCACACCACGGGACACCACGAGCTGTAAAATATCGAAATAAAGTTAACAAGTAAGTAAAATAGTAATAAACTATTTGTAAATTGAAATTAAATATTAAATGTTATAAGTGAAGTAATAGTTAAATTAGTGAATAAAAGTAATATCACTGATTAAATTTACAATTCAATTTCTTGTCAACAAATTGTTTCAAACTTTGTATTTTACATTTGAAAGTTAAGTATCTTCGAAATGATTTTGCAAAAATTAAATCCAAGTAATAACCAATTTTAAAACACAAAATTCATTATTGCCATTGCTAGTGAGCTCATAGAGTAACCTAAATTTTCCACCAAAACCTATTTTAAATCCAGATGGAAAATTTTTCGCAACACTCTACTTCATTTGAATCTATTCATCTCGGAAAATTCTCAAACAATTTTATATTTTAAATTTACAACTCAATGAATTGTAGTATCTGTATACCATTCAAAATCCATCCAATTTCAATTATAAATTTTTACTTATTCTATAACTTTATAATAATTGTGATTGTGATAATAATGAATATATGATTTTATGATTATTGCTATCATCACTGTTACCAATTTTACAGTGATTATCATTTTTGTTATCACAGAGTACTTCTCTTATTCACTTACTCAAAACATAACACTGTTCATTCAGATGACACATGAACTAAAAATTTGTCCTCGTTACCCTTATTTGAGAAAAAAAAATTAACAATTTTTCAATTTTTTAATTTTTCTACACTTATCAAAATTTATCGTTTTGTCAAGAAACAGAGATGAAATTTATTTTCTCATCATTGCATTGTAATACTTTTATCAGAAAAGAGTACTTTATTTCATAAAAAATTTTTGAATGCGACAAGGACAACTTTTTACACTTTTTTTTTTCTTTTTTTCATAAATAATCTTTCTATTGAATTTAACAAGAAAAGTATCGAGATTTTAATGAGATTTAACAAATGAAATGTTTAAAAAAAAACAAAAAATTTTTTTTTATATGATTGGATAAAGGATTTATTTTTTTCTTTTTTAATGGAAGATATATTGATAAGGGATTTGTATTTGTTATTTTAGAGAGGAACCATCACGGAAATCAATAAATGATGGTACTACGGGTATTACAACACCTCCGGAAACACCACCACCACTTCCTGAATCACCATGTCCTCCGTTATCTTCCCGGAAGACACCACTTTCTACTGTAAGTTTTTCCATTTGACCAGATTTACAATAAAGTTCTCGTAAAAAGTTTTCCTATGTGAATGTAAGAAGTTTTCATATGTGAATGCATATTTAATTTCTAAAAACGATTAGCATTTTGGTATTCAATTTTATTCCTAAAAATGCTTTCTCTTAATGCTACTTAAAAGCATAATTGTATCTTTTAGGTTGAAATGATAATAAGTAAAGTTTGGTAAAAATTTAAATGAAATACTAAACTTTTAAAGTTGAAGTAAATTAAAATTTATAATTTTTTTTCAGCCATTTTCCATTGATACATCCAGTGCACATACACTTAGGAAAGGATGGTTGATGTTACGGGGTAAAGGTGCTTCTGACTGGACAAAACATTGGGTAGTACTAGCTGGACTATCACTCAAATTGTATAAGTATGTTAATTTCAAAAATTTTTTATTCTGCAAACATAAATTTATAATATTTTATAATTTGTATTATCAAAATATCTACCCTTTTTTTTCTTCGAGAAAAATATGTCAAAGAATGATAGTAGTCTATAAGTGAAATTTCATTTCATTATATACCTATCTGTCATTTCATATTTGTTTGTTGACCTTCAGAGATGTCTGGGCTGAAGACTCTGCTGAGCCATTGCTTTCTGTTGACCTCAATGAATGTGAAAATGTTTATCCATCAGCTTCTGCTAAGAATTATGGCATTGAAATCAAAGTTAGCTTATTTGCTTTAAAATTTTGTAAAATTACTATTACTTCAAAATTATTTCATCTTAAAATTTTCACACAATTTCAAGAATTCAATCAATGATTAATAATTTTTTTCCTTAAAAATTTAGCAAATAAGAGGAAATTTTAGTGTCGACGAACTCGCTATGTACTTTCGGCAATGACACCCGGAATAAGAGATAGTTGGATTACAGCTCTGCAACAAAATTTACACAATCCTTCACCTACTTATACTGAAGCTTGTCCAAGTGATGCTGCAAGTTTACCGGAAAGTGATTTGGTGTCGTTGTTACCAGTAAGTATTAAACGTTTTTTATATCTAAAATTTCAAAAAAAAAAAAAACGAATATATGTGTATTCTTGCTTCCAGAATTTTGTCATCTTTTCACATTTACATATTTTCAACCGTTCATTCTACTTATTTCAGCGTAAAAAACATATTGCTTATGTGGCACCGGAATCTCATCATTCAAATTCAATGATGGATGACGAATCTTGTACTGAAGATGAACTGAATTCTCTTGAACGACCATCAAGAACTCATCAAGCAAATCTTTCCGAAAGGTTTCCGTATATGAAAATGTTGCTATCCACTTTTATGAACTGATTTTAGTGTCAACCGAATCAATCAGTAATGTATATTGTTGACATCTATGTATAAATATTACATATTGCTAACTCCTAGAAATTTCATTTGAAATTCTGTATGATTTAAATTAATTTCTTTCTTCACTTGCATTCAACATTTCATTAAACACTTCATTTACAGATCATTCGATTCATCGGATGACGATGATAACGAAGTGATCGGTGATCGAACTGATCAACGTTCTCCTCAGCGACGTCGTAATGGTCGTGATCAAAGCTTATCACCAACTTTTCGTCGTTCTCCAGTATCACGTATCAAAGATAAATCAACCAACAGACAACAAAATGGAACAATAAGATGGTATACAAAATTTTTTATACATATATTTTTTTTTCTAATGCTTAAGCTAATTAATGAAAAAAATTGTAATGTTGTAATTTATTAATGGTTTTAGTTTAAAATTAATGACTTGCTTATATATTTAATATAATCTCTCAACTTGTTATTATTTTCGTTCAATTATAATAATTTTTTTTTTTTTTTTTTTAAGAAACAAAATTTTATGCTTTACAATAATTTAAGAGTAATTTTCCTTTTCATCACACATTTAAAAGAGTTTTGAGGAAAACTAACAAAATTTTTATTAATATTTACAACCTAATGGGAAGAAGATGAATTGGTGTAAATTAGTGTAATACTATTCACAGAGTAAAAATAAATATGTTTGAATTTAAAAATGCATCCTTAAATTTCTCACTTGCGAATGAATATTTTACTGATTGTGTATTTATGGAAATTGTTGTTTTTTTTTTTTTTTCAAATTCTTAAATTAATAGACATTTTTGTTTTATTCCTTAACTGTTAGCATATTTCTGACATTTATTTAGCTTCTCAACTTTTTCTTTTCAAAAACAAAAAAAAAAAAAAAAAAAAGATAAAAATAAAAACTAAAAGTGCTGTATACTAGTTTAAATTTTAAATAATGTACAGATTATATATATATAAAAAGATTATAGAGACAAGCTTATGATCTCATAGGGAGTATTAAAAACTAAAATTTCAATTTTCTAAGGAATACATTTTTCAAAAATTGAATTATTAAATTTTTATTCTGCAGGAATGGTTCCAGTTCATCGCTTTCATCTGTTATACCTCCCGTTGTGCAATCGCAAAGATGTAACTCATCGGTAAATATAAATTAGATCTTTAGTAATTCTACTATATTTCTGCAAAAAAAAAAAAAAAATTCTTTTTCTCTCAGATTAAAATTTGTAAAATTTTGAATTGGATAATCGATTTAATAATCAATGATTTAGATGTTTCTCGTAATAAAAAAATATATCATAGACAATTTTATTTTTAAGTTATTTAAATGAGATTTTTTTTTCTTTTTAGCTTATGCTATTTTATTTGATTAGCTTTAGTAGTAGTAATTTAGTGTACTACCAGTTTTGCCATTATTTATCCTTTTTCATTTCATCTTCCTCTTATTTTAATGTCTTCTATTCCTTTCTTTCACTTACTAAGTTTACATAAGTTAAACTTCTTTCTATTGATGTTAGCCGTACAACTGAGTTAGATTTGTGCTTTTACGATTGCCAATTCAATTCAGTTCAGTTCAGTTCAGTTCAATTCAATTCAATTGTGTATACAAACTATCAATGCGTTAATGCATTAAATGGCCACATGTAGCATTTATAACATTTTCATTTTCTTTGAAATTTTTCAGTAAACAAAATAATTAATTAGATCAAAGTTTAAAAAAAAAAGAAAAATGATAATTATTTACTGTGGTATATTTAGTGATTGAGTCATTCATTAAGCTCAATTATAAATTGAAATGCTAAAAGAGACTTATAATGGCATTTATGATAATAATTAATTAGTAAATGAATTACTCCTTCTCGTTTTAATATATATTAATATTGCTCAAGTAAAAATTTGGGTAAGTGTATTTTAATTTGAGATTATTTATTTGAAATCATCTTCCTATCAAATTTTTGACCATACCTTTTTATTGTCATTTATGTGAACAGGTAATAAGCATAAGCATATAAAATGAGGAATGCTTTTAGTTTTATATTGCATCACCTTTTTCTTCTTCCTCTTATTTGCCTGCTGCTAAAACAAGTTTCTTTGCATTTGTAAAGACAGATGATATGTTTATCAACTCATTCATATATATTATCATTATTTACCACTTCTCACTGATAGCATCGTTAAAGGATGAAATTTTTATGAATTACTAATTCATTTTGTTCAAAATGAATTTTTAAATTTTCATGAATTACTAATTCATTTTGTTCAAAATGAATTTTCACCTATCATATATTGTTGACTTTTTGAGCATTCATTTCATAATCATTTATATACTAATTAGCAATTAATTTAGTAAATACCATTTATGCGTTTATGATTTCAAACAATTTCATTATGTCTTTATTTAAAAATTTCAAAGTATTTTCTGAAATTTCACCTTCAAAATATGAAATTTAGAGGAAGCATCAAATAAATGGATCTTAGCTAACTTTAGCTACTTTAGTTTTTCTAACTTTGTTATAAAGGGAATAATAGCTGGTGTAGTTGTGAGAGATGTAAAATAAGAAGAAAACCCTTCTTACTCACCTGATGCTAACATTTTGATCGATCGAATAAAATAACTGAGCAGTTAGAAAGAAGTGTCAAATGACCTTTATATTTATGCTAATGTGTAGTAATCTAGTCTACTAGCAGCGCGATGCAGGTGTAAAAGTCTAGAAAGTAGTATTAATTGCATAACAGAAGATTATGAGAGCTTTATCAGCTTTAAATTACAAGATTATTGTTTCAAATATAAGAAATAAATATTCTAACTTGATATAACTATTTTCTCTATATAAATTACTTATAGATACTTTAAGTGATAGCTGTGAGTTACTACAATAAGATTTTTCGCTTTTTTTTTTTGGCTAAAATTCTAATTATTTATACGGTATTGAAACTTATTAATGAACTGAAATTATTAATGAATATCCAAAAGTTTTTTTTTTTCTTTATTTGATATATTTTTTAATTGTAGAAATCGGTACCACGAGAGCAGAGTGCATCATTACAGGAGATGAGGTTACGTACGCTGGAGTCACAGGTGACAATTTATTCATCTGTTATTTTACATATTTGTTTAATTAATACAAATTTTTAACTTCAAACTTTTAAATCTCATTGTTAAGTCATCTACATAATCCTATTTAAACAATCAAAAATTCAAGATCTTAGTTCATATAATGGCTATGATTCTTATATTTTACAATCAAATCTACGTTTCTTACGATCTGTTTTTTTCATAATTTTTTTTTTTTTTGTTTTTTTTGTGAAATCTTTTTTGTGTGTTTTTTTTTTTTTTGAAAAATTTTTCACAAAACTACTAATTTGTTTTTGACAAAAAAATATTTAACCGGAATTTTGATGTGTCACTGTTTTTAATTTTCTTTTTTATTGAATTGACTGTTAATCAATTAAAATTTTAAATTAAATTAGATGATGCAATTTCCTCTAGCAAAAAGTTTGCTCCAGAAAGTTTGCTTTTTCCAATTTTAAAGAAACAGGATGAAATGATAAAAATATTTGTTTACGATAAATTCAACTAATGAATAGTTGATCAGAAAATTTTTGTATTAAAAAATGAGATTACATTAATACAAAATTTGGAAAATAAAAGAAATACTCCAATACAAATACATCTTCAATTGTCCTAAATTTTTTTGTCATTTGTCACAAAATTTAATTCATTAATAAAAACAGCACCAGTGATAAATTTTTGATAACAGTCAGCTACAAATGCAAGTGCAGAAGCAAAAAAAAAAAAAAAAAAAAAAAAAAACATTTCCAATGTCAAAAATTGTGTTCTAAATGTTATTCTGTCATTTAAAATGAGATCAAAAAATGTTTAATCATTAAATATAGCATTTTGTTCTACAAAAGATTGTGTGGGTCGATCTCCTGAAAAAAACAAGGTCATAATTAATCTTCCAAAATTGCGTAACATTTTCAAGATTTTTTATTTCCTTAAATTTATCGCCAATTGTTATCATTATCTATCTTTAATTGGCTTATATATAACTCTTTCTTTACTTCTTGCACATAAATTTCGTACAATATAGTTCAGATGTTTCGATAAAGTTTAATCATTTTCTGACTTTAATACATTACATATATGATAAAATAATAGTAATTCTTTAAAGTTTATTATAAATTTTGAAAAAAACTTTCACATATTTAATAAAGTTCATTCATTCATTCATTCATTCATTTTTCTCCTATTTATATTTCAAAAATGAACTTAATTGATTCTATTTCGGGTATTTATTTGTTTATATATATATATATATATATATATATATATATATATAATTGAATTAAGTAAATTATTGCACTTTTATGTTAGATATATTCCACAGATTTCACATATCTCATCTAAATTAAGTTAATTATAAGAGATAATATACAATCAGGTGGAAAATCTTCGTGATCAGCTACAGGATACAACTTCAAGGCTTGGAGAAACAAGAAGTGAAAACGAACGTTTACGATGTCTTTTTTTGAGTAGCGATGTAAGTTCTGAATTTTCAAACATTCAGAAATATCTTTCAAGAATTTTACATTAACTTTCGAATATTTAGATAAACTTCAATCATCAAAAATCAAAACAAAAAATATTTCAAATCTTCAAAATATTTTCTTTTACAGGCACAAGGTCTTTCACAATTACGACGTAGTCTTACGGCTGCTGAAGAAGACGTGATACGAAAACGTGAAGAAATGGAAACATTACGGAAACAGCTTGCTACACCAACCCAAGAAAGTGATCAACAATATGAAATTAGGTAAAAATTTTAACAAATAGCAGTATTGAACTTTAGTAGGTTATCTGGAATTAATAGGATTACAATTACAAGGATTATTATTTAAAAAGGAAAAATTTTAGAAATTAATTTCTCTGACTAGAAAACATCACATTGCTAATATACACATTTTAATCTTTAGTCTATAATTTCCAGATATAAGCAAATCGTTGAACAATTTACGAATTTGCTAAAAGTTCAAGTTGGTGCTTTGTCGCGTTTTGTACACTGCCAAACAGGCAGCATTGAATACGCCGAACTACGACAATGCGTTGATCAACTAATTCGGAGAGTAGCTGGCTTAGATGAAGTCACTCAGATGGATAGTAAAATGAATCTCATTGAGGAAACGCTGAATAATGTCTCTGAAGCTTATGAAAAGGTTTAACAGTTTTAACTTTTATACTAATAAAGTAATGAAAGCTGGCATCCGACTGTAATAAGTATGGATTGTTTTAAAATATTTCACATTAATTACAAAATTTTGGAACACTGAAAAGAATAAGCCAAACTATGAAGTGGTATTGAAGAAACTTCGTATTATATTAGTATTATTTCGGGAATTAGTTTTTATTTCAAAATATTTCAGGAATGCACTAAATTATTTTATTTTAGCTGTTTCCTAAGTTTTTGCTTAACAAAATATCTTTCTATTCAATATCACTTAGCAGTGTTTAAAATTATTTGATATGAAGTTGACCAGATATATCTGTCATACTGGAAATTTTTTATCTTTAGGTAAGTAAAGTACTGATAAGGACACAACGCGAAGTACAAGAAAAGGAAGTACATATGGTAAAATTATTAATTTTTCTTTCAATTATTGTTCTTTAATTGAGGTTTGAATGCTTTGTAGACATTTTCTTTATTCTAAAGTATTGAAGTCTGTTTAATTTCCAGGAACATTCATCACCAGATGACATTGCCGATGAGGTGCAAGATTTGGAAAATGAATTAGAAGAGATTCAGGTATATAAATGCACCTTGAAATCTTAATTGGATTGATAGCTTTTTGCTTCATTAAAGAAGAAAAAAATCACAAATGAGATTATCATGCTTTGAATGCTTTATAATCTTTTGTCATTCACTTTTGAAGTTTAGGCTGCTCATGCTGAAGAAATGGAATCTATGCAATCCAAATATGAATATCAATTAAAATTACTTCGAGAACGCCTGGAGCATGAAGAGCATCGACGGAAAAAAGCGCAAGAAGAGTTACAAACACTAAATGTAATTCTCCTAGAATTTATCAGAAAACAATGAATTCAAAAATTTTCTTTCAAAAATGAAAAGAGAAAAAAGCATTTTCAGTCCTTAAATGATCATTCATTATCCACAATGAAGAAAACTCATGAGGAAATGCTAGCGGAACAAAGGCGACAATACGAGGAGGAAATTGCTGCGCTGCATAAAGAACATGCAGCGGAATTGCAGGAAGAAAAAAAAGCTACCAGGTTTCTTTTAATTACTTTCTTAAAAAGTTATTAAAAATGATTGCTATAAAATACTAGTATTAATGCATTTGAACAAGGTTAATCTGACTTGTTAAATTTTAAGGTTTATTCTACAATTCTCTCTCTTTCGTCTTTCCTCTTGTTGATTTCTAATATGATTCTTGCTTCGTTGTTCTCATATTAAATTAATATTGAAATTATCTTCTTTATTAAATTGCAGGATGGCTTTGGATGCAGTACAGCGTGCGCATGATGCTGAATTAAAAAATATTAATGAAAAAGTTCGTAGTATTAGTGGTAATAATATAAGCTCTTCTCAAACAAATATCTCTGCCGAACCAAGAATCGATGTACAGTCTACAAGGCAGAGGTGAGAGTACTTTTCATTAAGATTATTTAAATATTTTATTCCAATATATCTGACTCTTTTTTTTTTTTTTTGCCTATTTTCTTGTTACAGTAAAATGTTGGAGCAAATGAGTACAGAATTAGCTCAGTTGTCGGCATTATACTCGGCAAAATGTCTGGAGAATTCTCAGCTTGATGAGAAGATGTCTTTATTGCTGGCCGACAAAGAAAATCAGTCATCGTTGAAGTATTTTAAATATTTTAAAGCTTTCTTTTGTTTTTTTTTTTGTTTTTTTTTTTCCTCTTATTTGTTTTGTCTCATTTTTTTCAGCAAAATTTTCTTATTATTTATGACAATTAAAACTAGATTTATCAAATATTTTAGAGGATTTTTGTGTTTTTTTGACGAAAAAAAAAATTTTCAAATTTGTAAATTTTAATGTATTTTAATGTGAAATTTTTATTTTTAGTGATGTAGAAACCCAAAATAGACGCTTGCATCGTGAATTACGGCAAAAAGACATAATAATTGAAGAGCTGAGGCAGACGGTGGCATTTCTGGAACGTCGAACTGCTGATTTGACCGGTGAAGAACTTCCTGTTAAATATGGTAGGTTCATTTTTTCTAATGTTTTATGTGAATGTAACAGTGATCAAATTAAGCTTAGGATAACTTAGATATATTTGACGAATGTAAGTTATGATATGACCTTTTATCGTAATCAGCTTGAACCATAGGGGTCATCTTTTAATCTGTTAATGAGATAGAAGTCCATCACTGGGTTGCTACAATTACTTATTTACTTACACACTTTTCAAGGCTTTTTTGGCTGCAAGTGCAAGGGCCCTTTGGCATTATTATCATCCTTCGCTTCTTGGTAATTTTATACATGTCAATGCATCACTTCAAACTTATTCCTTTTTTTTTTTTGTTGTTTTTTGAAAATTACTAAAATCTTCAAAAAATTCTATTCAAAATTTAAGTTGTTTGCAGAACTGCCAAAACGACAAAATCGGTAAGCTTTAGTATGTGTAAAAATGTTTGAAATTGGCTTGGCATTTTAGGCTCAATTTGATTTTTTCTAGTACTAAGTTTAAGATCACCAATAATTTATTGTAAAATTTTTCAAAATATATCCATATTTCTAATAAAATTTCTATCATCTTTCTTTTCGTTGAAGAAATTTTCAAATTTACCTTCTTATGGTGATCATAGACAGTAACATAATTATTCTTCTTCAATCCTGTGATGCATGCTTGTTATTTCTAAATTCTATATTAGTAAAGCATGTTGCCTGAACTTTATTAGCTGTTGTCAATTCCTTCTATCAGCCTTCTTTTCCTGCCTAATTGCTTCATGCCTTCATTTCAGCATTGATTTGTAAAATGACATTTTTGTGTTTTTTTTTTTTTGGTTAAAATTCAGTAGTTTCTTTCTTTTTTCATTATTTTGATGACAGAAAGGATAGCACTAGTAAAAATTTTATAGCAAATGATTCATTCCTTTTAGCTTATCAACAATATGCTATAAAGTTACAACTAGTGCTATCATTTTTGTGTCAAAATGTTTGGAATACCTCTTTTGACAGTATCACTTTCATATTTTTTCGTTGCAGAGGAACGCGTAGACGACGTACCGTTATTACGAGAGGAATCGGTGACACACCGAACACGTCAAACTCACTTTCCAACTCTTCAGCAGCAGCAACAGCAACAACAACAACAGATAGCTCTCAGTTTTCCATCACTCAACAACAGCGACAGCATAGTAACACAACCAACAGCAGTCGTTTCATCGATTTGGCATCTTCCATCCGATCAAGGGGTCAAATTTCGAAGAAATCGTCAAGTGACATCAAAAATGACTTCAAGACGTAATGGTAAGTAACTAAATTAGTAGTATAAGATTCAAATGGAATATAGAATTCAGATGAGGAAAACTCATAAAAATTAATATATAACTTAAATTTTTAATGGAGAATTGCTATGTTTACTGTCCAACTTAACGGTTACGACTTTATATATTGTAACAGTTATTCTGTAATCACTTATTGTTAACAAATGAATTATGTAATCAAATTTAAGATGTTCGATTCCATAGCAATCCAGCGATACCAGTAAGTGAGATGACAACCAATTATTTAGCCAGTGAATTACGACGTTCAATGATTATTCCAGTGAGTGAACGTCGAAAGTTCTTTGAAACGATCGCTGAATACAGTCATCCTTTCTAATAAAAAAATGATATTTGATAACACTTTAAAAAAAAAAAGCAAAAAATATTTCTTTCCTATAGGACAGAAAATTCAAATTGTCACTTATTGCAGTTCAGTTTTTTAAAAAAAAATGACAAAACTAACAAATTGAAGCGAATAAAATTACAAGGAAAATTTTTAATAAGAACATTGAATTAAAAATTTCCCACTTTTAAAGTTCTAGTCAATTTGTCAGAGAAATGAGATTTATAGCAGAGTAATAATGCATACTGGGATAAGAAGCTACAAAACTTTAATTTTATTCACATTCATTTAGGAAAATATTTCAGGAATTTATGAGGAAATTATTTCATCATTATCTTGCGATAAAGGCAAATCTTTCAGTCTGAGATCTTTTCTTTCAAATATTTTATCACTTTTCATCTTCTTCATTCATTTTAATCATCCCTTCCCATTCTCTTTTGATCTCGTATACTTTTCGCTAAGAAAAGCTGCAAAAATTAAAGGCAAAATTAGTTCTTATAAAATTTCATATATATTAGTCATGCGCGGTTTTTTTTTTTTTTTCCCAACTGGTCATTTATGCCACTGGTGATTTTCTGGTGTGAAATTTTGATTTTGTTCAGTTCAGGCCTGCTGTCTTGTTTTTGAACGTGTAATAGATTAATTATGTTTACATTTTCGTGCAATGAACTCAGAATCAAACTTTTCTCAGAAAATGGCTAGCATAAGGGTACATCAATAGAATTATGCTAAAGTTATGAATTACTTAGTTCCTAATTATACATTTTTTTTTTTCTACTCGATTGAACTCGATGAAAAGTAAGGAAATACGAATTGGCAAATATTTCTTAATGTGATATTATTCCAAAACAACAAAATATCTTTCTTAATCTGAAGTAATTTAACACACTCTCTACTCTACTATTAATAAAAATTTTGAATCTCACATATAATTTTATTCATAATGCTGGAAAAATTTAGTATTTTTGAAGAGTTCTCCCAGACTACAATAAGGAAATATTATTAGCTATACCCATGCTTCGATTGTTCTTAAATCAAAATCTATAAATGAATTTAAATTCCATCCCTGAACATAGCTAGCTATTCATTAATTAAATATATTGGATGCTATCCACCTAACGAGCAATATACATTTGTTGTGATTCGCTTGCTGTCTGTATATCACTGTATAATAAATAAAACTCCTCAGTATAACTTCGAACACGCATTTAAATAAATTAATATGTATGTTATTATTTAGGATGAGAAACGATAATTGTACTCAGTTTGATTCAGTTTTCTTTCCCTCTAACCTCTAATTTTCAATTCAGAAGTAATATCGTAATTTGTTTAGAGAACTATTAATTCCAAACCTATTAACTATCCACAAGAATTTGTGTTTCCGAAAATTCTCTTCCAGTATTTGATGCTCCTGAAATGTTGAAATGCAAAAACATCAAAAGAAACTTGAAATCAATAAGATTATTATTAAAGTACATGAGGAATTATGAACAGTACAATCATTACAAACAAAAACGGGAAGTATCAAGACCGTCCAACTATCCAAAATGACTGCAATCAACATGCACAAAAGAATCCTACTAAATACTGACTTGAACATTTTATCACAAGAATTCGAAATCGAACAAAATCAGAGGATCACTAAGATATACAATATATAATAAGGGATACATCTCATGTTTACACACATACCAGTCACTCAATCCTGAAAAATTCAGAAGTAATATCGATTAAATCTTCTCCCTCTAATTTATCAAGTCGATTTCCAAAATTAATTTCTTCCAATAAATGCAATAAATAAGGAAATATCATCGGAAACTAGCTGATATAAACGTTCGCATTAAGATCACTTTGGACAATCATTATTTGTTTTGGAAATACTAAAATATGAAGATGAGATAGAAATTTTTGGGAGTAAAATTAGTACAAAAGTGAACTAAATATGCGGACAAATGTTATAACTTAATCATTCGCTAAAATTCAGAGCAATCACCAATCTCTTCATCTTATTTCTATTTCCTGTCATAGAAACATGAAATGAGTCACTTTTTCTTCATTGCTTTCATATGATTCAGTGCTGAGCCAGCCTTAAACCATTCGATTTGAGCCGCATTAAAACTGTGAGACAGCCAGATCTCCTCCTTTTTACCATCAACGTGTTTCAAGATGCATTTTAATGGCTAAAAAAAAAAACCAAATCTTCAAGACTCGAAATTTTTATGGAACCATCAACAGTGTCAACTAATTTTTTAATGCGTAATCACATACGTTATGTAGGTATAATTTCACATCCTGATAAGGAACTAATATCTTAAAATAAAACAAGACAAAAGCAATAGTGTTGAATAAAGAATTTACAAGAAAAAGAGAACAACCTTGCTAGGTGCAAAATCATTCAAACCAACAATTGATATCTTGTCGTCTGGCTTAACTTTATTGTAATCATTTGGATCAGCAAACGCTTTTCAGAAACTGAAAACACCTGATATATTCAACATCAATTTATAAGGAATTTATTGCCTCCTATGTAAGATCCACTAAATCAAAATACTTCAGCTAATTTAAAGTAAAAAGACAACAAAATTTGAATGGAGTTTGAAACAATCATTATACGTTTTAAAGTATTATGTGACTATATTAAAAGCGGTCGATAAGGTTTCAAAAATCTTATTATTTGTGGTGAAGCAAAAGGTTCTTGATAATGCAAAAGCCAAATAAGTTAAATATTTTCTTTCCAGATTAAATTTACAGCGAACTGAAATGTAAAATACTTACCGTGAATCCGAGAAAGGTTTTTACAATAATTGCACGTCCACCGAAATGTCTAGGTTCTAAAGCTGCATGTTCACGAGATGAGCCTTCACCATAGTTTTCGTCACCCACTGCTATCCAAGCTACTCCATCCGACTTATAGTGACGTGTCGTTTGAGATGCCGTATCATACTTGCCCGTCAAATGATTGCGAACTTTATAATTAGAAATTCTTTCCCATAATCTAATAAATAAAGTCCTGAAATTGAGTGTTGTCGGTTTACAAAAATCTTTGAAGAAAAATTTAATTATCAAACCTTTTCGAACCAGTACTCAACAACTATAATTACCTTGTTCATTTCATCATTTTCCGCATTGACAGCAGTTAAGAATAGATTATTTGAAATATTATCCAAATGACCACGGAATTTCAACCAGGGTCCAGCAGCACTGATATGGTCTGTTGTACACTTTCCTTTTACCTGAATTTTAAAATACCAAGAGCAAAAATTAAATCATGAAGATAATGAAATTCTAAAATGAAAACTGGATTAATCTTCTGTGCAACTTACTTTAATTAATATTAACATATTTTCAAGATCCTTCCCATCCCAAGGATTGAATGAATGGTTTCAGAAGTTGTAAACGTTCACTATTTTCATTGACTACAACGTTGCCGTGTCCTGATGGAGCCTGATAATAGTTCACACCTGAGTCATAACCTTTTGGTGGCAAGCTATGACCGCTTGGTGCAATTTGCAACTTGAATTTGCTACCTGAAATAACATTTCCTTCAACTGCGAAATAAAAACATTTAAGCCAAAATTTGCAGAAGTACTCATCATATCAAAACTACCAAAAAACCGTAGCTTCTTCAGTGTACCGAAACCAGACACTTTCATCTTTCGAAATATCTTCTAAACCAGCAATCATTCTTTGAAGATATTAGCTTAGAAAATATTTTCTGTTGACATGTTCAGCTGAACAAAAGTGATACGTTAATGTAAAAATTTTTGAGGGAATATAGTACTGATATACCACGCTATATGTGAGTATTTGAAAATACTTGTGTCTCCTGTCGATCTCCAGCTACGTAAGCAGTCAAAATTTATAAAGTCACGTTAAAAAACTTTTAAAATCACAGATTTATAAAGTCACGTTAAAAAACTTTTAAAATCACAGATGTATAGATAAGATATTTGCATATATGATTTTTGCTTGGGATCATAATGGTAGTAGTGAAATATTGTAATGCATTTGCAAGATTATTCTGTCTGTTTTTAATTGAATAAATATAAATGAGAATACAGAAATAGTTTGTGGCTGTTATGAAATAATAACCGCCACAACAATTAATAATGGAAATTCGATTATTTCATTAGAGCTGAAGGATAATTTTTAGAAAGCTATCAAAAAAAAAAAAAGAAACTGGGCAAGTAAAATTCTTCCTCAGAATATTGAATCATAATATTGCTCTATAATATTTTGTGCTTGCAGAAATAGAAATTTGGGAGGGCAAAAATAGAAATTCGTGATAAGTGCGAGTGACAGACATACTTAGGAGAATGTGGTAAAAATAGAAATTCGCTAGGGAGTGCGCGCGGTAAAAGCAAATTCGAAAGCGAGAACGCGGCAGAAATATTTGAACCTGGAAAATTAGTTTGCGATTCCTTTAGATGAGCTTTCCATTGTTATATGGAGTATTAATTTTATACGCATATCGTTAAGAAACACAATTGCTATTATTTTTGGAAATTCTTTCTTAACTAAAACATTCACCATTCAACGTCTCCTGTCGATCTCCAGCTACGTAAGCAGTCAAAATTTATAAAGTCACGTTAAAAAACTTTTAAAATCACAGATGTCTAGTAGAATGCATATTAGCAAGCATAACAGAAGCCTAATAATTAAACATAGCCCTATGTGTAGTCCAAAAATTATATACGTGGTGAAATTGTGTCACTATTAACATTTTATTAACTTCAACAATTTCAAACAATTATAGCAGAATTTTTAATCAAAACAGAAATCAAACAGAATTAATATATATTAATAACTAACGATGAAAAGTGGTAATACATAATTACTGCAAAATGATTCAAATGAATTGGTATCACAACAATAAGAAATTGCTAATTCTGTTAATAGCAATTAAAAACAATAAATGGCTGATTAGCTTGAATCAATGCATTTTTATTCAACAACATACTTCAAAAAAAAAAAAAAAAAAAAACGATTCGTTG